GGACTGTTCTTTGCAACCACTTTCCTTGATATGATAAATTGATATTTAACTATTAAAAATATTTTGAAGAATAATTATAATTATTTTTAAGAATAATTATGTAAAATATTTCAAAGAATAATTATAACACCTTAAAATTTATATAGTATTCTATGTTCTGAAATAATTTTTGGGAAATATTCATCCTCCTTTTTTTTTCTTTTTGGAGGGTATTAATATGATACAGCCCACTGGGCAAGGAGCTGAGGTCTCCTGCCAACAGCCTCCTGAGGGAGCCATCTCAGAAGCAGCCCCTCTGGGCTGCCCCAGGCAACAAAGGACATCCTCACTGCAGTCTCAGCAGGAGACCCTGAGCCACCCAGCTACATTGCTCTTGAATTCTTCAACTGTGAGATAATGTTTGTTGTTTTAAGCCACTAAAAAACATACAAAATATATGTTAACCACTTTCACAAAATATACTGAAGTGTCAGCAAGAGCTGCAAGAGTGGAAGAATCAGCCCTGGCTGGTGTGGCTCAGTGGGTTGGGCGCCAGCCTGTGAACCAAAAGGTGGCTGGTTCAAGTCCTAATCATGGCACATGCCTGGGCTGCAGTTTGGGGCTTCACACATCAATGTTTCTCTCTTTCTCTTCCTTCCTTCCCCTTTAGAAAATAAATAAAATCTTAAAAAAAAAAAAAAAAAAAAAAGAATGGTAGAATCACTGATGCTGTTTTGCACTGGGGTGGGTAGGGGGAGGAAACGATTAAAATAGCTTTATTCCATAGGTCTGACTGCTTTCTGGGACAGCACAACCTGATTTAACTAAGTATTTGCAACGTGCCACAGTAAATAAAGGAAAAACTTGACCCTAGAGAAAAGCAAGTTATTACTTGTGTGTGTGTGTATTTTAAAATACCAGTCCTAAGTCACAAATGCATTAACAAATACAGTATATTACTATACGATTTTCAGAAATTGCCTTTTTGTGTACCTGCCTTTATACTTCTCTCTGTCCCTGGAGACATTTCTTCCCATCTACTCTTCACATTTCTGCATATTGCAAAAATTCAGGACTGGAAGAGTTATTCACATTGTTTTCTTTTACTCAAATGTAAAATAGCAGCCAAAAAAGATCATTATCTGTTATGATCTATTTTCCTACCTCACAGAGATGAGACAATAAAAGCAGAGCTGGCTGTGCCCTATTTCAAAAAGATACAAAACTATAGAATCATTCTTATTTTTGGGAGTTCCAGCATATTTAATAATTGTTTTTATGGGGAAGAGGTGACATTCTGATCGCTAATGTTTCAACCCAGGTAATAGGGAAAGGCAGAACTGGAAGTGGTAGCCAAATGAATAGGCGGAGTTTAGTTAATTGTATACATGATGTGATTTCAGAGGCCATTACAGTTTTTTGTTTTTTTAAATTTATTACCTTTAGAGAGAGAGAGGAAAGAGATTTGTTGTCCCGCTTACTTACACATTCACCGTGCCCCTGTACGTGTTGATTCCTGTACGTGCCCGGCCAGAGATGGGACGCACAACCTTGGCCTGTCAGGGTGACACTCTAACCAGCGGAGCTCCCGGCCAGAGCCAAGGCTCTCTTATCCCTAAAAATTACCACTGCTCTGTCAAGTCTGAAAGCTCATTATCTTTCCAAGCATAGGCTCTATTGAAATGCAGATCAAACCACCGGTGAGAAGTAATACTCTTTCTTAGTATTGCCAATAATTGGCGTGACACAAAAAACAGAATCAGGTTTACTAAGGAATGGATTTACAAATAGTTTTTCTACAACTTTTAAAAATCATTTTGCTTCTAGAAAAGTTATAATAGTACAAGAAACTCCTATATGCTCTTTATCCTCAGTTGGAAAAAGGTCCCACGTGCTCTGCCGTTGCTTCTCCTCATCTGGTTATTCATTACTCCCTCAGTTTGCTTAAATTTGAGTTGCCGTCTGTTACCACTTTTCATCCAAAGAACTTCTTTTTGTTTTTCTTGTACAGTAGATATGCTTCCAATAAAGCGTTTTATCATTTATCTGAAAGTATTTTATTGAGTGAAACATATTTGTGATAGCTACTTTAAATTCCTTGTCTATTAATTCAATATCTGGGTCATCTTAGTCAGTTTATAGTAACTGTTTTTTCTCTTCACTATGGACCACATTGTCTCGTTTCTTAATTGTGAATCATTTTATTGTCTTTCTCATTCCCATAATTTTTAAAAAAATTTTATATTGGACACTGTGGATGATATGGGGTAGAGATTCTAGATTCTTTCTCCGAAAAGTGTTATTTTTGGCAAGACTCAAACTGTCTCTCCTGTGGGGGCAGCAGCTGAGAACTCTGCTTAGTGCTCTCAGCTCTTTGTTTCCTGCCAGGCTCCTAAGAGTCTCTGCAGATGCACAGTTCAGGGGTGAGCCAAGGACTTGTCAGAATTTATATGCAGATTTTGGGGTTCTCCTTCCTGAAGCTCACCCCTGTCTGCGATGTTCCTCCTCACTTTCCAGTCTCCCTGGAATCCCTGAACGCTGTCATATTCTCGAACCAATTTCACTATAGCTTTCTACCGAAGTTCTAGCTACTCTCACCTGGTGGGCTTGGAAATACTTTTCAGACCAAGAACCATATAAACACAAATCTCAACCAGTGCAGCCCCTCTCTTTCAAGGGTCAACCTCGTTCTGGTTTGTCTGCTTGTGATTACTGTCAGATGGTTGTTTTTTATGTTTTGTCCTGAATTCATAACCATTATCTGTTAGTCTGATATGATTACTCTGCTATTATCAGAAGAATCAACAAAGTTTTCAAAAACATAAAAATAAAACATGGGCTCTATAAATCATTACACGTAAATTAATTCAACAAACATTTACCAAGCATTTACTTCGGTCTAGTTTGTATACTAATACTAAGTGAGAGAAAGCATTTAGAGATACGATTTATATTAGATTGTAGTCAACTTGAATGGTCCTGGATTTTTAAATCTCCAAATAATACATTTACTTGTTGTGTCATGCTTTACATTTATGTGGTGCATTAAAAAAAAAATCAGATTTCTGAGGCCAAAAACATTTGCAGTTAAGTTTAACACCACCAACAGTTGGTTGCAATGAAAAATCCCCAAATTTCTTTAGTTTGAAATGTCAAAATATTTTAAAATAAAATCCCTGGGATGGTGCCACTCTTTCAAGAAACTGTGGAACTACTAAACATTGAAAATAAAAGAAGGGAACACCACATTGCTCTTTCAGTATCAAATTTGGGGCTGAACTACTACAAGTGGACCTGTAGCCCTTCCCTTTGACTTATCCCATCTTCCTATCGCAGATGTGGAATGTTGCTAATCTACATAAACAACTTTACTTTTTTACTGTATCTAAATAAAATAAAGGTAGAAAATACATCAGTATAGAATCCAATGCTACATGCCACTTACGTATTTTGGGGTTAGAGGTCAATGATAGTAAAAGATGACCTGCTGCTGAAAGGTCCCATGTGTGCTATAGGACTTAGTAGAGTTCACCACCCTAGTTCTCAGGTTAGTTCCTCATCCTTACTCTTAAATCCTCATTTAAGACCTGTCTTGCCCGTACAGACCTATAGAAGACTGAAGAGGGGCAAGGTAGGTGGGAACTTCTCTAGCTTTATAGTTTTGTGCAAGTTTGGCTCTGACTTTATTAGGGACTCAAGTAGGAAACATTAAGACTAAGCCCCACTCCCTATTCTCACTATTTTGCATACGGGTTACAGGTAGGCAAATAAGTACCTTCATTTCCACTTAGTTTTCCAGCACCTATCCCTATTCTAATTCTGTTATTAGAATCGAAGTCTACAGATCATACATGTATATATATTTCATAACCATTTGCTGAATGTATTAATTGGTTCCATTCTCTTTAATTTCTAAGATATATTTGGTCTTAATATCTGAAATTATGTTTATTATCACTCTTTTATCTGGTGTTTCTACTCAATACTAAAAATATTTCTGACATGACACCAATTCTACCATAAACTCTACATTTCATTTTCTGATGAATCATATAAATAACTGCACCTGAAACAGTGTGAGGTCAATAGCAAACATCTGTGTCCTTTAGAGGCCTTCTGCTTCCCTGAGCACAGCTGGTTGGCATCAGCTAAACATCAACTATTTAACACACTCAAGCTGTACACCAAGAGAGACTGAAGTGCTTACTGCTGAATACCTTATGCATTTAAAAAAAAAGAAGAAGACATGAGGAAAAGGAGAACACAAGTGTTATTTACCCGTTTATTAGTCATTCCATTTTTCTTCCAAAGAAAATAGTTCCATTGAATCCTTGGTGGACTGGGGGGCAGAGGCAGGACCATCAGCTGCTGTCGCTTTGAAGTGTGGCTGCAGGCTTCCATCCCTTTCCCAGCTCAGCTGGTGAAGCAGAGGAGAAACTTCAAAGGCCGGCTTGCTGTTGTTCCTGCCAGTGGGGGTGAGTGATTCCCATCAGTTAGCTTTAGAGAAAAAATGAGGAATTCATCCTCTCACTTGCCAGGGTTTGATGTTCACCAAACAATCTACCAGTTTTTAGTTATGACTGTCACTACCTCGTAGCCACAGATGAACACAATCACAGTCAATTTCATTGATTTATATTTACTTATGTGCACTACCTTTACAAATCATCTGAGACGGCCAGGTCTGTATTTGTCCAGGCTGTGCCACATGTCAGTGACAGCAAGTGAACGGCTCCTGCTGGATTACATACTCTGCTCACGGAAATGTGCAGTGTGTCTCCCAGGGCAAAGCGAAGCTTAAGAAGACTGTCTCCTCGCCACTCTGCTATCCCCAGCCTGTAATTATAACTGTTTACAATCCTTTTAGTTAGACATAGCTTTTCATTCTATGTATAGGCGGTGCGTTCATTCATTTTTGAGTTAAGAATCACTCCATTTGGTCAGTAACTCACCTTGTACAGTATTTACATTTTTGAATGCTATTATTAAATTTTAAAAGAAAACACAATTCCCCTGAATGATTTTATTTGGTTTAAACCTTTTTATTTAAAACTTATATTATTTCACTTCACAATTATAAAGGGAAAAGAAAATAACGCTAAAATATTAACTCTTAGAATTAAGAGTACCTCTGAGTCCCTGGCTGGGTGGCTCAGTTGGTCGGGCATCATCCTATGCACAACTTTGGGGGTTTGATCCGAGGTTGGGCCACCTACCTACGTTTCGGGTTGAATCCCCTGTTGGGGGCATGTACAGGAGGCAACCAACCAATGTTTCCCTCTCACATTGATGTTTTTCTCTCTCTCTCTCCCCCCGTCTCTAAAAAAAATCAGTAGACATATCCTCGGGTGAGGATAAAAAATACCTTTGATTGAAAAATTCTAATTCTTGGGCAGTTACATGGATAGTTAAACTTCCCTGACACTACCTCCAACCAGCTTTTATTTAAATAAATATGAAGAATTGGGTAAAAACATTTCAATATATAGTACAAAATGGTACAAGATATGAGAGTCTTCAGGGAAGCTTATTATGCTAAAAAAAAACCCATAAGAAACCAGACAGTTACATTAAACATTGATAGTCATGTGACCGAAAAACAAGTTACTAACACCAATTTAGAGGTGCCCATTTATTTGGCAACATGGTCCCAATATGGTCTAAAGAAGACTCTTATGGTAGAAATGAAACTGTAAGATTAAAGAAAATAGCAAACACACACCTAGGAACACAATTAATGGGGAAAAAATTCCAGAAAGCTTCCATAATTAGCAGATGGGTATGTTTCATGCTATAGAAACAACAGTCTACTATGCCAAGTCCTGAAGAAGCAAATAGTTAATGCAATTAAATAGTGGAATGACAACACAAATCAGCCATTGATCCATATTACATTGATTGCAGAATACAATCTGAGAGGAAATTATGCCAATGACTGGATCTTCATTTTTTATATTTTGCAAAAATGTTGAACTCAAAGTGGCATAAACTCCAGATTCTCACTTTCAAAGATGGGTTTTCACTCCTGCCTGATTATATCCCGAGGAAATCAAAAGTCTTTGAATCGCCATCTCTGGTTATAGTTTATCCTCCTGTTTTCAGGCTTTTGGAGCCATTTTTTATTTGTGTAACAAATGACTCGGAGATGAAATTTTAAAGAACAAACAAAATACACCAAAAGAAGTGAGAAAAAGTCACATGTAAAATGATTTTATGGAGACAGAAGATTTTTAAAACATGCTGTTCATGATTTAGTAGCATTAGGAGTTTGCTACTATACTGTTTAACAATTACTTGTGTTGCTCATCTTCTGAGAATTCATTCCAGAGAGAGCTGCACACTGTCAGCTGGGTTTTGTGGCTGTTGATAGTCATACTTCCTTGCTATTCAAAAACAAACAAACAAACAAACAAAAACAAGAAAAAAGGATAAAATGAATAAAGTAGTGAAACAATTGGTAGCTAACATCATTAACTCAGGCAAGTCCCGCATCTCGGTAAAGAATTAGCTTAGAATTAAACAGAGGTCTCAGGCAAAGGCTCCTCCTCCCCACTTTGTGGTCCTCTAACTTCTCAACACTGCTGGTAGCCATTTTTATATGTTTTTATTATTACTATTTGCATATCAGGGTTATTCAGAGCTTTAAAATATAGGATAAACAAAAAATAAAATACAGAATAAACATTAATTAAGCTATTAAAATGAAATGAATTTTGTAATTTCCTTCTTTCTTGCCCCCCGTTTTCATCTTAAGATAAATTAATAATAATGCTTTTGTTCACATCATGAGGAATCTGACTATATTTTAACTTATAAACCTGAGAGACCTATTATTAAACTTTGTAATTAATATAAAATAGTAGAAAAAACAAATATACAATTCTGTATTTTCTTTGTATTTCTCAGAAATGGTTGAAGAATGGTCTTAACCTAAAACTAGAGAAAGCATAGAGCTAAAAGCTTTATGAATGCCATTCACTGCTTGGCTTTAAAACTTTTAGTCTCTTCATTTTTTCCTAGCCAAGAAAAGATACTATTTGTTTACACTACTGGGGAGATGTGTGAAAATTCAGATTTTTGTGGCCTTAAGCTTCTACAACTTTGGGTGTCCTCTTTAAGACAAAGAATTTTGTTTGCTACTTCCTCTTGCCCTCCAGGCTTTGTTAGGATAAGGTATGTCACAAACACTGTGACTGATCCAACCTGGAGGGATTCAGTAGATGTGCGAATCCACACACATACAGTGTTTTAAGGAATAATTGTTTCCAAAGAGGTCCACACCCTAAACCCTGTAATCTGTGAATATGTCACATTACAGGGCAAAGGGGACTTTGAAGATGAGACTAAGGTAAGTACCTTAAGGGGGGGCGATTACCCTGGATTATCTGGTCCCCACCTAATAACACGGGCCCTTAAAATCAGAGAGCCTTTCCTGGCTGAGTTCAGACAGAGGGGAAGACACAAAACTGGAAGAATGATCAGAAAGATGCAGTGCTGTTGGCTTTGAAGATGGAGGAAGGGGGCCACAAAGCAAGGAATGTGGGTTGCTTCTAGTAGCTGGAAATAGCAGAACAACATATTCTCTTCTAGGGCAGAAGGAAAAGCCTGCCCTGGCTGGTGTGGCTAAGTGGGTTGAGCACCAGCCAGTGAACCGAAAGGTCGCTGGTTTGATTCCCTGTCAGGACATGTGCCTGGGTTGCGGGCCAGGTCCCCAGTTTGGGGCATGAGAGAGGCAACCAATGGATGTTTCTCTTGCACATCTATGTTCCTCTCCCTCACTTTCTCACTCTCCCTAAAAAATAAATAAAATATTTAAAAAAGGAAAGAAAAACCTGCTGACACATAGATTTTTATCTCAATGAGACTGTCATAGGATTTTTAATCTATAAAGACGTTAAGATAATACATTTGTGTTGTTTTAAGCCACTGAATTTGTGATAATTTGCTATAGCAGGAATAGAAAACTAATACCCTGTACAAAGACAGAAATTCTGATAAATATTATTTCATGCCATTACCATCGAAAAAGAAAAACTGTATCCTGGCTTTATAATTGTATATGTTATACTACTGGTAATATAGTCATCCTGGGTAGCATAAACAATATCTATTTCTTGGCTAGGCTTATTTTACTTCATTATAAGAATAATTATAGAGAATAATGTCTTTAAGTTTCATCCGTCTTACAGCATATATAAGAATTTTCTTCCTCTTAAAGGATGAATAACATTCTAGTGTATTTATGTACCATGTTTTGTGTATTCATTCATCCATCAAGGACACTTGGATGGTTTCCACCTTTGCTATTGTGAATAATGCTGCTATGTTAATTTTACTTCTTAGCTTGAACTGGTAACCCATGCATATGGTACAAAGTGCAAAAGGAACAGAAGAGAAACAATTAAAGTGTATCTTCTTTGTGTCTGATCAGTTAGCCTTACAGCTACCTATCCAGTTTCTTTCCCCAAAGGAAATGCTGGTGTCAGTTCTTAGGATGAAATATATGATAAAGAATTTTTAGGAGGTTTTACTTGTGTAAAATACGTATGTGTGCATACTGGGTTGGCCAAAAAGTCTGTATGGTTTTTTCCATAAAAGACACATTTTTCATTTTCATGAATAATTCTGGATATTTTGAGTTATGTTGGCTATCTCCTGCAAGGTATTACATTGATTGTTCTCAATTAATGTCTTGATTTGATTGCTATTAACTTCAAATGGCCTACCGACCATGGAGCATTGTCCAGTGAGAAATCTCCAGCACGAAACTTTGCATGCAAATCACTTTTGATACGTTCTATCAGTCATAGAACTTTCTCCACTTTTGATATGTTCTATCAGTCACAACCACTGTTTTTACCTTTCTCAAAATAATAAAGGATAATATGCTGAAAATGTTGTGTATTTTCTTCCATCTTCAATATTGAAATGGCTACACAAAAATTCACCAATTTTGATGTTCTTTTTTAAATGATACAATCTAACAAGACTGTTTTGAATGAACTAAGTGCTACTAGAGTCATGTTACAGAAAAAAACAAAATAACTTTTTGGCCAACCCAATATTTTTTCCTACTTTTTCCTAAAATTTCATTCCTTGATTCTTTCTATGCACATACAGACACACACATTTTTTACTATAGACAGTTTTCTTTTAAAAGAGTACATTCTTTTTTCTTTAAATCCTACATTGTTCCTATCAAGGTAATAATTTTAATAATCTGATGCATACCTTCCCAAACCTTCCTCCATGCTTGCATAATTATGGAACATTTATTTATATTATACATAGATAAGACAAGGGATGCTTTGGTCATTTGATTTTTAAAAGAGTGGCGTTACAGTACATATACCATTATATATTGCTTTTCTCGGCTTAATGGGGCACCACAGAAACATCATCTTTATTGTTTTAAATGGTTGCATACATGGCTGTGGCTTACAATTCATACGGACTCCGTGCATTTTGGACTTTGTCTCTTCTCCACTACCTGCATATTCAGCGTGTTCTGTGCTATAGAATGTATTAATGTTGAGATATGACCTCCGGCCTTGCACACTGATGTCATATGCCATATTCCTGGAAGCCACTCCCGTATTGTTTTGGCTTGAAATAATTTAATTATAGCAGAAGGGACTGCAAACTCCACAAATACAAACTTTAAACCCTACCTGCAAGTAGCTCCAACTCAACTCTCCCTTAAATCCCCCAAATGCTCCCGGCCTCTTGAACGCCACTCCACGCGAGGGGAAGTACAAAGGAGGGCAAAATTAGAGTAGGAAGAGACAGCAGTCTTAACTGATTGTTAAAACAGCAAATTTTTGCAAAATTTACAAAAGTGCGATCACATGTACACATAACTAGGGTTCTTCTCAGGGCTTTGGAAGGGGCCCGCATACGCACAGGGCCCTGAAGCATTAACTTCATGCAAATCTGCCTTTGCCGAAACCATGTTGAGCGTGTGAAAACGGCGCTCATTTTTCATTATCAACTATTTCTGAAAACCTTTGCTAACTGGATTCAATTCCAAAAAGTCTATTTTAAACATGCTTATTATGTATATAGTTAAACACAGAACATACTTACAAATGGAATACATTTCCAGTTGCTGTCTTAAACGAATTTTGCTTATTGTGTCATAAAAGTTGGGCTCTGATAAAGTTTCTGCTGTTGGTGGCACACTGAATATCCTCATAATTTTCCTTTTATTCCTAAAACACAAAACCAGTGCAGAAGACAGATCTTTATTATTATTTATAGGACTATAATATTCTCATGATCATTATAATCAGAAACTACATTTAAGGATTTAAATGGCAAGGAATCCATGTTTTCTTTTGTCTCTGTGGATGCTTCCTTGGCTCAAGTATTCTTTCTTTCACTAAAAAGTATGACGCTGTCCATGTACAGCCACTGGGCTGTAAGAAAGAAAAGAAAGAAGCTGAACACATCCACTTAATACAACAGCTCTGTACCCCCATTGTGCCTCCACTCCCTGCCCCCCAAAAAAGCCAAATGTTCTATAGAAAAATGCATAAACAAGAACACATCTGATTTTACCGTCCCTCGCATGTCCTCTAAATAAAGCTAACTTCCTGGGTTTGACAATACATATAATGTGAGCAGACCCTGATTTTGGAAAATAATGAATAAGCCTATTTCTTAAATACAACAGTGGGGTATCTATTCAGAATTGATAACAGTGTGACCCTGCTTTTACAACAGTGGGGTAGGAAGGAGGCAGCACCTATATCTAGAGGAAAGCTGTCCCCTACAAGCAGGCCGGGCTGCTGTGCGGAGCCTCCGCTCACCCACTGTTGGAGTGCGGGCGGCCTGCGGGCTAGCGGCTCCAGGGGCTCAGGCAGCCAGGAGCAGGGAGCCTGCATGTCTGGGAGTGAGGAGAGGCTCTGGCCTATTCCCCAAACCAAACTTCAATCATTTGTGGATAACCAATTATTTTGACCTATCGACCACCTACCTCTCTGACTTTGGTAGAGGACGCCATGAACCAGGGGGCTATAAGCATAAGCAATTCAGTTCAACTAATCCTGCTTTTCCCCTTCAAGGCACCTCCTTTTTTTTCTTTTTTTAATGTACTTAAAGGAAAGGAGCCAGAGAGAGTGGACGATAACAGTTAAATTATGCTACAGCACCTAGAATTAAAGTAGGAAATATTTATTGAGTTTACCCCATGTGGCACACCAGGGACATAAAGGTCAAAGGTTTTTGTTCTTAAGGGACTGAAGTTTTTGTGGAATACAAAACAAGTAATCAGATAACACCAATATTGTTCACGAAGTGCTATGATATAGCCTTGCAGAAGAAACAGAAGGGAAAGCTGAAAATGTGCAAAGAGAACTGCTGAACACACAGGAGTTAGTGTTTCTGCATTTCAGGGACATGGGCCCCCCAAAAATGTGCTCATCCAAGGGTGGCAGTGAACACAGGCTGGATGATCAAAATTGAGCTGCATTAGAAATGACAGAATGGGAGTATCGTGCAGCTGGCCTAGGTGCTGAGAGCGGCACCTGAATCTCCGTCTCTGAAAGTAACGGGAGTTTCCAAGCCAAACCTGAGTCTAGTGCTCAAGAGCCCGAGTAGTCAGTGCTTTCCTAGCGAGAACAGAAGTGCTGATGAAATTATTTTTGTGCATTAAATTCAGATAAAACAAACAAATAATCCTGCAAAGCTTTTGAAAGCCCAGTTCCTCATCTTCCGGAGGTGCTCCAAGATTTACCTCTTGGCGTACATGAAGAGACCAAAGCTAACGAGGATCACTACCAAGTAAACGTTGGTGGCTTCGTTCCAGGCCTCGTGGACGCTGTAATCGATAGAGCCATCGTCACCCATCACTCCGTAACCACCAGGCATGCGGCTGTGAGAGAGAGAGAACAGGGTTTTTCTGTTCATGAGTGATGGAATGGCTACAGAAGCCCTGGCAAATATACGGCCTGCTGGCCAACTCCGGCCAGCTGCCTGCCGTATGACCCAGGGGCCAAGAATGGTTTCATGTTTCTACACAGGTACATTTTAAATGGTTATAATACCTACATAATATCCTTAATTGTTGCCTCACAGCTCTCAAAGCCTAAAATATTTATAATCTGGTCCTTTAAGAAAAAGTTGGCTAACTCCTGGTCTAGATAACTAAGGCATGTAACATTTTTCCTTATTTTCCACTTGGAACCATTACAGCCTCTACATAGTGAAAACCTGGGATTTATTAATCATATTAAAAAAAGGGGTACAGGTTGAAATGTCATTGCAGTTTCCAAACAGTAACTATCATGTAGATTAAAGCAATAGAATACTTTGAAACACAGACCCAAGCCATTGGCTGTGATGCTCAGAAGAGCGTTGCACTTGTGACAGCAGCCTAGAAAAGATAGGACAGCCGTCCCCACAGTGCTCTTCCACATGTCTGCTTTATCTAGGATTGGCTTGCTGGCCAAATGTGGTTGAAAGAAGCAATGGGATAAAAAGTTACTTTTGGCTATTTACACAGCTGTGACTTCTATTCAAGGAAATGCATTCTTTGGACATTCCCACAGAAAATAAGAGTAGTAATAGCAACTGTATCAATTAGCAAGTGAAAGAGTAATGGTTTCTTATTTGTGTTTGGGAAGGTAATTGAATTTTTCCTCTCAGAGAAAGTTCCTCCTTTGTGTTTGACATAAAAGTTAAGTCTAAGTAAAATGACCTAACACGTGAAAGAAATCCAGAGGTGTTTTTTTAGACATTCTATAAAAAGGAGAAAAACTGAATAAATGATAGGTGACAACTGCGCTATAAAGAATAAAGCAGCCATTTTCTAGTATCAGAGTATCCAAAGAGTATCCAAAATGTTCAAGAAGTTGTTCTGCATTTTTTCCTTAGATATTCTATAACAACAAAGGCATTGCAGACATTCACCCACTAAAACATCTTGTAATCCTCCTGTAAGCCTCCAAAATATTCTTTAAAGCAGATTTGGCTCAGTAGTTAGTCAGTGTGTATTAAGGGCAGAGTCTACTTTCTTTCTTAGAGCGTGCCTCTGCATAAAATGAATGAAATGTCCCCAGAGGTCTGCTCCGAAGCCAGGGGGCATATTTGCCCCTTGCTCACATCTGAAGTCTTAGTCAGGCATTTGGGGGGCATAATGTAATCATTTACAATAAAGTGAGTATCATGAATGGCCATTTAACAAACTGTCAACATCAAGGGCAAGAATAACTTCTCTAACACATATGATGGATATAAAATGCCTTATAAAAATTAGCCAGGGAATAATAAAAACAGAACTTACTTTAAGTTATATATAGTAATTTATAGGTGCAAAATCTAAACTCCTATATATTAAAGTCTGGCTGTGAATTTTCTTTTTTCTTTTAAAAGAGAATAAGAGGCACAGGGGGGTCTGGTACAGTCAAAGTTTCAATTCATATTCCTTAAAACTAAGCTCCAGAGTTTCTCTGAATATTATGATAGATAGCAAGTAATCAATCAACTTTAGAAATGGGAACTTTTGGAAGACCAGAGACTAATAATTATGATTTATGGAATCTAGAATTCCATTGGTGCCAAGACATAAAGTAACAATGACTGTGTTTGGCAAAAATAGATGACTTTATATATTTAAGATGCTGAAGAAGGCCTGGAACAATTATGCAGCAAGGGTGGTAGGTTTCAGGATTGGGAGTTATTAACAAATCAGAGAAGAAACAGGGAATATATAGTACTGGCCACTAGAACATATCTGACAAATTACGACATTATTTCCTTCCTGTCTTCTAATACCTGAAGGGATCTAAGCCGGGTTAATTTCTGGCTTTGATTTTTCACAAAATTCTGTTCATGTGCCACTCAATAAATGGTATATTTCTAGAGAGCTTACAAAAATGCCAGTCTGTAATTAACAGAGGCTTTCAGATTACTGTTGATTCAGATGGTAAAATTTTAACGTGAATTATATAACATATATTAGACAACATCACTGGTATGCAATGACACCACTGTTCCACAGTTCCAGGGAAATGCACTGGAGTTATTTTTAGTAGTGTCATTGTGAAAGATCTGCACTGAGAGTAGACCTTTCCTGTCCAGTCCTCCATTATGACCAATGGCATGGCTTTGTAAGATTGCCAGGAATAAAGAATGGTGTTGTCCAAAGTCACAGTACAGAGCCACAGCTCACATGTGGCCTGAACTATGACCATCCCTTTCCAGCACGCCACAGTCTAACCAAGTGCACACACGTACACCTGCTGAGTGGTGACTGCATACCACCACAGCCTTCCTCTTGATTCTAAAGCAAAATGCCCAAAGGGTATTACAATGGTTCATTCCTGGCAAGTTAATGTTTCAGCAAGATCACGTGGGCTTGGATCATGATTCATCAATTTCTCCAATTTGTCATTTGAGAAAACTAAACTTTTTCACATATTTTTCCTTAACAGTAATGTTTGAACGATTTCAGTAGGGAGATGCTAGGATCAGCTGAGTAAAGTCCCAGGTAAACATTAGTATGCAGAGATAAAGTTGCCAAAATACAACTCGGGTTCAGTTTTAGTTTGATAAACTTTTAGACTGAAAATTAGTTTCCTGATTTTGTGTTCCTGATACTACGTCTAGGTGGTTCTAAAACTGGGCATCATTTACCCTTGTCTAGAATATGATCATTTTTGTCTCTCAGTACTTTTTTATTTTGATACAAACTCAGATAACAATTACTTATATAATTCCAAGAGTTCCTTATAACACAATCCACTGCATCTATGGGATGTTCTTTCTCTCAGTCCTCTGAACATTGAAGGTTTGGGTTTCTGGCGCAGAACGTTTCGAGCTAATAGGCCTTCGGGAGGAAGGAACCAAGAAGAGGCAGGCAATTTACATTTGAGGGTTTACGTGCTGGGCAGTCCACATATTCCTTTAAACTTCACATCCACCCTGCTGGGAGGCACTCCATTGTACAGAAGCAACTGGGATGGTGGCGGTTGTGCAATGGTATAACTTGCCCAAAGTCACACAATCTAGGGAGTGGAGGGGCAAGGTTGTCATTCGCATCTGACTCCAAACCTTAACACTTCCAGCCCGTACCCCAACCTTGTGAGACCTGCTCCTCTCGGCAAAACAAATCCGGTTGAGCCGGTACAGAGTATAATCCTTTCTCAGGAAGTGGCCGCAGGCTGGAGCGGACAGAGCTGCCAGATTTTAGGCTTTTCCGCCGCTCGCGGGCTGCACGTGATTGAACCTTTAAACACTCCAAGCTAAACCCCAAACACCCCGGGGCCTTCGTGCCCGCCCTACGTTTGCATTCCAGAGTCGGCTACTTAAATTTCTGTGCCTGCATTTCTGGAACTCGGAGCCTCATTACTCCCTACGACCGTAAGGGGTTCCAAGCAAAGGCGAGGCAGGTGGAATTAGCCTCCAAACCCACGACTCGGGGCGTGGGGCGACCTCCACCTCCCTTCCCCTCCCCTCCCCTTTCCAGAGAGTCCGGGGCGGGGCGGGGCGCGGGCGGAGGGCGGGGCCGGCTGACGCGAGATCGGGGCCCAAGAGGCGCAGGGACGCGGGTCCACTCACACTGCTCGCTCCGGAGGCGGCAGGCGATCAGGCTGCTCCGCTCGGGGCCCTTTCCCCCGGAGTCGGGGCCGGACTCGCGGGAACCGGTTACCGCACGGACCTGGACGACCTCTGCCTTCGTCATTTCCTGCCGGCCCGTCGGTTTCCGGATAAAACAAGGAACCAGGTCTTTCCCTCCCCGCCCCCCTCGGCCCCCCTTTCAATTTTTGAACGGGAGAGACGCAGCGACGGCCCCGGTGCCGCCCCCGCGCGTGAGTGGAGCCGGGCTCCCTTCCCCTCCCCCGCGGCGCGTCACCGCCCGGCCCCGCCCCCGGCCCCGACCCCTCCGGGGCTGCGCGCGCCGTTCTCCGCTAGTGCCCGGCCGCGAGACCGTCGCGTCCGCGGGAGGGCGGGTCGGGTCAGTCGGGTCCCGCTGGGGCTTCCAGTGGCGGTGGGTCTGGCCGCTCTGCCTGCAAGTCCACGTGGATCTAGCTGTGGTGTGCTAAAACCCGGCTGGAAGTAGCGGGCACAGGTCATTACCCGGGAGTACCGTGCCGTTTCCCGCCCCACTTCGACGCGTCCCGGGCGTGATTCTAGGCGTGGGAGGGGGGGAATGTGCATTGTCCTACGAAGCGAGATTAGGCTGGGAGACTCAAAGATTTACTTTTTTCGTAATAAGGGCGTGGAATTACTTTTAATATTTGCCTTAATGTTTATTTAAGAAAGCATATGCTCTCCAAACTGTCTTTTAATTTTCCCTATGATAATAAATGCCTGGCTGAGACTATTGAAATGCTTTAAAAACTGGATGCTGTAATATTGAAAGTTTAAGTGACTTTTGGGTATTTAAAAAAAATTGCATGGGGACGTGAAAAATGTAACATCTTCTAGCATGAGACAGGTAATGAATTTCTGTAGGATTCCAGTATTAGTAGAAGTTACCGGATTTGAGTGGTTGGTGCAGCCTTGCAAATAGCCACTTGTCCACGTGCTTGAGGTCTTAACTGTTCCTTTTGAGCTAGTTCTCTAGGATCAGCTGACTGCTAATTATAATTCATGCTAGACCATGTAGAGGTGGTATTTTTAATTGATAAGCAGAGATAAGAACTAATATTTAACACTACCCCTTAGGAAGTTTTCTCTGCTTGTGGATCATTTTGTTAGAATTACTCACCTTTGTCTAGATGAAGTGCATTACTTGGTACACTAACATACTGGCTTTATAGTATTTATTTACAGTATTAATGCATGTTAGTTTGTACATGTTATATATACATAATTATATTTTACAACCATTCAGTTCTATTATAAAGTTGGAAAATTAGTAACAATATTAATGGGCAATGTTGAGTACTCATTGTTTGCCAGTCCTGTGCCAAATGGTCTACATCCTTTATCATATTTAATCTTTCAGGATAACTTTTTGCATAAATATACATTGCTCAAAAATATTTGAATACATGAGTTTGATTCGAATGTGTCCAAATGTGGGATATGTACATTAATTACTGCTCTGTGTCAGCTTTTGTAAATTAAGGGTGTTAGCAATATATAATGATTTGTAGAGTAAATTAATGTGTTTTTCAAATTGGGAGATTTGAAAAAGGATGTTGGCAGTCTGTAATGAGTTATAGGGTAATGTGTTTTTCAATTGGCTTTAAAATCGCAAAGAACTGCAATTATTCCCTTTATTTGGGTATTCAGTAGTTTCCATATTCCCATTATGTATCATTGTCACCTAGTGAACAGGTGATGCTTGGGAAAAAGGTAAACATGGGAAAGCCTTAATGGCCCTTTCTGAAAGGCTTCTCTCCATATTTAGTTCCTAAGTGAAGTTTCTAATTGAGGGTTAACAAATGACAATGAAACAGGAAGAGTAATTTTCCAATACCAAATCAAGGAAATAAAGAAACAGTGGGCTGGTTACTTTGTTGATTACGTCTGACATTCCTGGGTATGGGTGTAAAAAATGTTATCTACATGCAGAGGGTCTCTCCTTAATTTTTCAGTTTGCCTGTAATATCTTAACCATACTCAGTGTGGAGTCCAGTACTTTGTGCATTGAGAAGTTAAGTTTTGGTTGGATTTAATTAAGCGGTTTTGACTTCCTTAAGTTTATTTTGACTGTGTTTCCACAGATGCAGTTTAATGATTTATATAGGCATAACAATGATGAGAATGTTGGTGGGGTCCAGCAATTTGCTTCTTGTGAGAGAAGTAGTTTAGAAGATTGGAGGAGGGGGAGGGAGGGAGGGAAGTACTTGAAAATGTGCCTTATTTGTGACTGGAGCCTCTTGGACTTCTGTCTGCTGATTCTAGTGTCCATCATTGGCAAGGAAAAGGTTGAGAAGGCTTCGCCAGTCAGTATTTATAAGACGGTTCTTTTAAAGGCGTCCTCTTTGGGGAGGGGATGTGTGGAGAGTTGTCATCAGTGGGAGGGCATAAGAAGAAAAAGATGCGTGTGTGTTCTTTTGGAGTTAATACTTGCACCCATCATGACTAACTGATTCCACCGCATTCAGCTGCAGGCACTTTCGTGGTAGATATTTGATGTTTGTAGGCAGCCACTGAGATAAAATAAAAGGAGGAGGGGAGGGGGATGGAGACAGCACAGGGATATTCAGCAAAACATTAATAAGTTGCATTTGGACACAATTTACAAGCCGGGCCTTCAAAGCTTATATTATGAAAACCATTCAAATAAGGTTGACTGTATGTGTTTCAATATCTCTGTTATTTGTACCCAGAAATATGCCAAATACCCCTTTAATGTACTTTATAAGCAATGGAACATATTTCGAGTACGGCTCATGGGAAGTTACTGAATTTTTCATTGTAGCCATTTCTGTATGTCGTTGTTAGAAAGCCGGAGAGACCCATAATGCCAGCATTGGCTCCTGCTTGTGAGGTATTTAAGCAGTGTTGTGTTTCATTGGATTGGAAGACAAGTCCTTCTCATTCCTTACTTCAAAACTTGGCTCTCACACGGAGTGCCTTTTAAGCTTCCAGAGTTCAGGGACCTTTTCTGTGTCGCTCTTTGCCAGTGTCCCTAAAGCCTAGCGTCCCTAAAGCCTAGCGTATGGAAGGTGCTAAGTAAATGTTTGTGAAATGAACAAAAGTGCATTGGAATCTTCTCTCTTTTTTCCACTAGCGAAGGTCCCACTTACCATTAGGAGCAGGGCTGCTCTATTCTTACCCTCTGCACGGCGTCTGCAGCACACAACAAGCCCTTTGAATGTTGTTTATTTTAGTTGGTAGTATTTTATTTGTGCAAACATTGTGTACACATATGAAACAGTACGAGAATTTGGAGCTAAATACAACGAACTAATAATAATAGCTTACATTTATGTAGAGCTTAAAACATGCCAGATGCTGTCCTAGGTGCCCTTACATATTAATTTATTTGACTCTCACAACAATTCTTTGAGGTAGGGACAATTATAATCCTATTTTTCAAATGTGGAAACTGAGGCACAGCAAGGTAATGAAGTTACTTGCTGAAAATCACCACTCAAGTAATGAGCAAGGGACACAGAATATGATCCCAGGAGATCTGGGCTCTTGAAGCCGTGTGGTTTCCCTGGGGAATTTTACTTTAGCAGAGACAGGGGAGAGATCTAAGAGTTGACACTACTTTCTCAGCTGTACTCTGTAAAATTTCAAAGTAGCATAAAAGATTGCAGTGACTCTGAACTGCAGAAATAATGCTGCATTTTTCAGCGAGCCGACATTGGTAATGAAGTGGTAAAGGGGGCATTGAAATGAGAGACTGAATTTTGAATCTCAGAGCCGAGGGAGGACTATATGTAATTCTTTTTAGGTATGGAATTCTACAACAGTAATCCATCAGGCTGTACGACAGTGGCTACTTAATTTAGTGTCAGAAAACTAATGTGAAATAAAAGAATATTGAATGACACTTGATATCTTACTCTTTTTTTTAAACACTTACTAGAATTAAACTCCTAGCAGTAGTAAATGACCAGAATGTAAGTGTTACTAACGGTTTCCTGTGTACTTTTATCCATTTGCTTTGTTATGTGAAATCTTGATCCACTTTTTCAGCTTGTCTTGGGGCCAGGAGGCCTCTTCAAACCAAGTAATACTTCTTTGGTGGGGGAAAAAACCCTTAAAATTGTGCCGTTGATTTGGTAACAAACCTGGAGTGAAGTCATTTTGAAGCAATGAGAAAATTAGACAACGGCTTACAAGCAGAATCCAGCAAGATGAAGAGAAATGGTATTCTCTCAAAGCCCAGTTTTGTATCCCTTTATTGGGAGCTGACAATATTATTTTGGGGGTGTTGGGCATCAACAGAGTCACTGAGCCTAAATGACTGCACAGATAGGGGAATGCATACGTCACCCCACCCACAGCCCGGGAATCCAAGGAGGAAGTGCCCTTGAAAGAAGCATGGGCCACAGGCCTGGTTTGCGGCCCGGAGGACCCACGCTCTGCAGGTACAGTATTCCGTGTGCTGCAGGGTGCTCCTGCTGGGGAGGCGGTTGTGTTGCCTGTCTTGGGGGTACTTTATAATTTGAGTCAGTGAAAAAATGACATTTGCTGCTGTCATTTTAACATCAGCATATATTTTGGGATGGCCTGCCATGGAAGCAGCCTGTAACTATGAATATTGTCCCACAGCCATCTTCTGTGTAAACACTGGAGGAAATCTGGGTTAAAATCTGCATTGACTGTTTTATCCAATTGGCATGTTAGCTTTCATTGCAGGCTCTTCTCGGACTGGTGGCGGTGGAGGGGGGGGTGGTTAAGGAAAGAGAAGATGATACACTGATTCATATTTTAAGCCGATCAAACTGGATTATTTAATGAAATCTGTAGTGTCCCATTTTATGAGTTTTAGGGTGGTAGAACTGGATCCTGCACATGATCTGGTGTGATTCTCTAAGTAGGAGTGTACGTCAGAATGACCCAGGGTTTACTGTAAAACGAACAGATGTCGGAGCCTAACCCCAGCAGCATGGCCTGAGCGTCTGTATTTTAACTACCTGCCCGTGTGAGAAGAACCAGTCTTGTATTTTATGAGAAAATCAGGGCAAAGTCAGATGGCCTACTTCTGGCCGGTTGAGTGGTACCACGATTTTATTGCCAGATACATAATTTCACAATTTTATGGCTGAGAGAAATTT